TAAATTGAGTTCAATTAAGATAGGATGGTGCAAGACAATTGAGTCTCTCTTTCCATTTGTTTGTAGTTCATCTACAGATTTGGTAATTATTTTACAGAAAAAAAAGGGAGCCCAACACACTGAGCCTAAGGCTACCAAATAATCTCCAATGACTAATTACCAATAATATATATATATATTATTTTCCGATTTTTGTCATTCTAAATTATGTCAGCATTAGACAGAATAATTGTCCGACGGGCCTAACACCGTACTTTTCGGTGCATCAAGACTGGGAAAATCTTCACTAAACCCAAGAAGCATTAGTTCGTTCTCGCCATCTTTTGCGATAGAAATATCATCAAAGTTCCTTTGCTAATCTGAATTAGGCTTATACGCTAGCCGTTGATAAATAAATAGCTATAAAAGTATATTTAACATAAGGACGATTTAGTCACAGTAGTAGGTATTAATAGCCGAGATCAGCAACACTGAGAACGTGGAAGGTAACGATCGCGATGACCTCTGGCGAAGCTACTTTTTTTTTTTTCTACATATGGACGTTGCTCTCGTCGACGGATCAAAAAAACAGTGAGTAAATTGGGTTTGTCAAAGCTTTCATTGGCCGTCATTTTAGCTTCCCTCCACTGGCTAATCATCATATAAATGTCACAAAAATGTCTAATCGATAGTAAATGTTCTCGTTATCGGTGGGTAAAAAACAATCATTTTTAACACAACAATATAATTTTTGCTATAGATTGGTCACATGGTAGAGGGGCAGAGACAACGACGACGGTTGTCATTGCCTTAACTTCCGCTTATTATTACTGTATGATGGTGACGATGACGATCTTTGAAGCAGACTCGCTTTCAAGCTATGAAATTGTATACATATTTATAGACACACCGTGGTATTTACCATCATTGGCCGTATAATCAAACTAGGGTCTAATATATTATGTCAGTGTTCACTTGGAAAAGCAACTCCTTTATTCAAAAGCAGAGTTAATGCAGAGTTGCTCGCGAAGCCATCTGGAATGAATTACCTCGGTTTGGGCCATCGACTATTCAAATAGTTGAGTAATTTAAGGGCACGGATTAGAAAAATGGCCTGCTGTCAGCCCAGGCGTGAGGTGAGCCCAGGTGAGTCCCTCAAGAGAAATAACGGTGTTAGCTGAAGTACTAGTCAAAAATAATTACCCTAACATTCACTGAGCTTGTTATAGATATCAATAGAAAGATGCGTAATATTCAACAAATTTAAAAAAATAGATTCGTCAAATATATTTCCTGCGCGGTGCCGTAAAATAATAATCTACGATATCAGCAAAATGTATAACATACGGCATGTGAACCTTGAGTCCTCAAGTGCACTGATAGAGATCAACAATTTCATGTTCTTTATGAGTGGAACCTCGACGAGCCGTTTGGGATAGGCTCTGTTTTTAGGCGCGAAAATTATTTCACCTATTTACAGCATTTAGCTGACCCCACTTGGTCTTCCAATTCGATCCTGCAGAGACTTCGCCAGACTTCAGCCGAAAATCACTGGAAAAAACGTGTAATTCAACATTAACTTTATTCGATTTCTGAGCTAAACGATCATGTTAAGTTTTCGCATCGATCGAAAGTTCAATCATCCAGTTAGGGTCAAGTCAATATGAGTTATCAGCATGCGTGAATTTTTTTTTCCAAAAAACTACATGCTATCTAGGTCAAAAGTTTGTCAGCTTCTAGTTTGTCAGCTAGACAAGGGTAGTTACTCAAGCAAAAGGCCCCTATTTAAAAAGGTTCTATTTACACACGATTGTGCACTGTACATAATTTTTATATGAAGAAATGTAAGTTATTAATAGTAGTATCGCTATAGTTACCATATTATCATTATGACATTGCGGAGTGCTGTTGTTTGTTGGTTTTTACCAAAATGTTAAGTTGCAAAAAGATCTTATATTGTAGTGTTTCCTTAATACACATAAATAACATGGCGAAACCAATTCTGGTAATTAGGGTGTTACATGAAGCACTTTTTATAACCTACTGCTTTTGGCTGCTTTGGCCACAACAAAATTCAACTCAAAATTAATACCGTGAAGAATCTCCATCGTTTTACTGTTCCAAGGAAATATTATTCAAAGACAAATCATACGATAAGTTAATTTCCTTTTCGCCTATTGTCGCTCGCTCATTATCCTCAATTAATTGACTTCACATAGTACTACGAGGAATTGCAGTAAAAAATTCTAACTATTTTTCATTTTCGAAGAAATGAACAGATAAATCTTAGTCCAAAAAATGTCCTTCGCTTTCTACGATTTCCGCCCATACGTATCTTGCGTAGTTTTTTTGGCAGCGACCCATTTACCAACTCACTCGCAGATTCCGGGTTCCGTTATCAAATGTTCGCCTTGTTGACCGGACCGCATTGACCGAAGAAAATGATAATCGGGCTGTACGCCGAAGAAGACAAGACTTTTTTTTTTTATTGGATATCCATTAACAGTTACTAGGTGACCAAAGCAAGCTTAGCGTTGCCTGCTAACCTTAAGGCCACATTGTGGTCTTCGTTTTGTGGTGGAAGCCAGCCGTCTGACGGAATGCCTAGGGGCATATATATCGGACGTAAAACTTGAAACATAGAGGTCATCAAAGCGTTATACGTTAACACGTTGCCATGTAGCAAGATCATCTTGCATCGCGCTTCGCCAGTACTGTCATTTTTCTACCAATTTCATGGCTCAAGCGGATGGGTTGATTTGCATAACAGTCGCCTGTGTTTCCTTCTTGGGATTGGCGGAGCTTATAGCATAAAACTCAATTCTCATTCCACCAAATGCAGAAATGCAGACTATTCATGTATGCCCTCGTGGCATCAAACTGAACTTCACTGTTCTGGTTTGCGTTGAGGAGTGTTGCGAAAGGTTATCGGCGATAACCATCTTTTATAGAAATTACTGGTTGTCGTGTGAGCAACAAAAGAGCTATTGTCAAACGGGTGTTTTCATTATTAAGTTTTTTTGGGAGATCCACTTTTTTCTTCTCGATTCTGCCTGGTATATGCTAACGGTTCACAATAACCATACGGATCATCCTGAGCTGTGCAGAGAGCTCCTGTCGATTACATCGTGCCTTACTCGGTGAGTGCCTTGAGTTTGTCGTCGTCCGTTTCTTGTGTCTATTCGGACACGGTTTACCGTTTAAATTACAATTACAGTTTGACGAAGATTGACGAATGTACGTTTTTGAGCTCCATGACTGAACGCACCGAATCAACACTTCTTTCTAATGATGACAGGTCAACGAAGTCCGGAATCAGAACAGCCATCATTACTAACCAGCTAGATACGCTCAGCCAATCCGACTCCAACGAAAACCTTCCTTATATAATGTATGGTTATGCACGTGTAATAATAAGTTGGAACTGGCTAGATATTAGAGCTTGCACGTTGGTTCGCTGATCTGATCTGATTAGTTTACATTGGCTGTAATAACATCGAGGGCAGATAACTTCAGCTACAACTTGATTTCGTGTATCGCGTGTGAGGCAGTGGACCGTGCGCACTACCAACCGAACTATGGAACTAGTCTAGTTCTGCCTGCCTGAGATTTAGAATAGTCTATAATCTACCTCATTCACTCTTGTATTTGTATTCACTAGGAATAGAAATACCCCAGCAAAGCTATGAAAGGAACGCCATATGCACCTACACAGACCTATGAAGGGAGCGTAAAAAGATAGATGGTAAACTTTGAACCGCTGAACATAGCAATTCAACATTTTCGTACCGGCTACTTCTACTTGAGTTCTGAATATTCCTAGCGAACAAGACGATGAAGTTTACACAAACGATTATCGAGCCCTACCATCGTCGTTGAAGCATCAGTTATCTGAAGACGGAACCCTAGAACTTGAATAATAACTACGTGATAGTCGGGTTTAGACCTGCACACAGCATAATTAGTATGGCAAAAACAGTAGCAAAATAATGAATAAACGGTATAGTAATTGTAACGTCAACGGCCGTTGACATTAGTAGAAAGTAAAAAGCAGCCTAACAAATTAAACGGTTACAAGATAAGGGCACCTTTGGGGCATTTGCGTGGTCCTTAGCCTTACAAAAATCAACAGATTAATAACAATCAAGGCTCTAGGCAGGATTAACTGGTATCTGTATAACAACTACTCATTTGAGCGGAGAAGACATTGGTCGTGTTCATTGCGTTTACGATGAATCGTTTAACAGTAAGCACTACACGGATTACTTAAGCAATTTCCGGATAACCACATTAACGTTTTACTTTTGTGTTTGATCTTTGAATAAGTCGACCAACCATAGCCGCTGTATGAGTAGTATAAGTAGTTTAGTTTATGAGCAAATTTACAAGTACGGGAGCGTGTCAGAATTGCGAAACCATCAAATATTTACCAATTGCCTCAACGAAAGCGAAGCTAAAAAGCAAATAATTTTAACATCCATTTATCTAGCAGAATTTGATTCTTTTTCCGCTTGACCAATGGCCATTTCAAAGCCAGTCTATTTATACCGCTACTACCGAAAATATCTGGTCCATAAGATTTTACGAACTGAACGAAGGGGGCTTTTCATACCCTTCGAAGGGGGTCTTCACTCGAACATTTTGCCTTCAATAAAACTGCCCCGCATAAAATCACAGTGGACTAGGGTTAGAGGAGTGGGTACAAGTGCAGAACAAAAAGTAATAGAAAAGATGAAATATTAATTTCTACGAATTTTCTACAACAATTTCCATTGTCGCAGTGTCATGGCTGGGCTTGCATTAGTAGAAGCCCTGAATTTTCTATCTAAGGTCTATGGTGAGATTTTACTCTCAGTGACTTAATTAGCTCCAGGAGCAAACGAACCCGGCGTCCCACCAAAAAAAGAACTTACTTACAGCTCTGCAGCTCTGTGGGGGGTCATATCAATCGGCTTTCTCATACGCACAGTACATTGTATGCCATAATAGTACCCAGACACATTAATGAGTCGACACGACACTCAATCACGTAAATATTTATTTTATTAGTCATTTTACCATCATCATTACAATCACACTTAATATCTCTATTTACCTCCTTTCATAATAATATTCGTATTCATAATTACATTTTACTAGACACTAACTCTTCTCGTTCTTCCTTGTTTTGGGCGTAAGTATCTTTTGTACGAGTTAGCGTTAACAACATATACAAACACTGGCAAATGAGATGCTAGCCACCCTTCTTCAGTATCTATTACGCTTGTCCTCGCATGTATATAAACGTTTCTATAGTATTTTTTGTTTTGTGTGTTTTTTAATTGTCAGCTTCTTTTTTTCTGTTTACTAGGGCCTTTAGGCCTCTTCGGGCACTAGCCAAGAACTCCGTCCTGCATCGGTCTACTTAGCAGGCTACACCCTGCGATACGTCGCTTTACATTATGCCTACGGGTTCCTTGTTCCACAAAAATGTCAATTCTGAGATTGTGCGGTTTATTTCAGCATGCGAATAGATATCTGCTTGACGATAGCACTTAATGCGTATCTACACCGGACTCAAGCAAGGAATGCTTACGTTCTATGTATGATCTATACCTGCTTGGACGCTGCTCGTACACGTTAAAAGCTTTGTTGTTTAAGTTCACTGATCCATATCAAATAAAATACAGACATGTATTGGCTCTCAAAGGCGAGAGATGTTTCTCATAAATCCTGTAACATGCATCCTGCATGTCGTTTCAAATAACATCAGATATTGTTTGTTCCTAACTAGAGACTTGACAGCGTCCGTCGCTTAAGGGCGAACGTCTGCCTCGTTTGTGTGCTGAATGTCATCAGGCGTCTGTAGCAACGGACAAGACTACCCCCATGCAAAGCCTCGGAACTGACACCAACATCCTAGGAACCTGTAGATAAGAAAAACCCTGTCGTTTATTATAATTATATTAAATATCATCAGCTACAACAACAGTATGGTTATTTTTACTATACATATGTAGTTGTATATCCTTTCGCGATGATAATTATTAACAGTAACATAGTTAATTAATAATAGCGATAGTAGTTCCCGCGTTCTATCACAAACCGCCTGGCAACTCCTGTGAGGGCAGGTATTATACAACGAAGCTGCTGCCTTCGACGCCACTAAACGATGAAAGATACTTTTCATATCGTACTGGTATAGTAATGTACTGAATATTTAGGTATATACAAATTTTTGTTACCTGTTCAACATCGCGTAACGACATCATCAAACAGTAAATAACCAATCGGTATTTGTTTTTCGTTCGAATGAACTTAGCATATGCTGAGTCCAGGTTGTTTGACATTTTCTATATTATGAAATATATATGAATTAAGTGGAAAAGAATCGAAAAATATGTTTACTATATGAGGTTTTAACGAGGTCGTACCTTATGTTGAATAAACATAGATAACCAATTTCGAAAGATTTCGGTGTTATCGTATGCAAAGAGGAAAATGATCTGTCACCACTTATTATTATAATAAGGATTAAACTAGTAGCCGAAGCATCGCACACCAATTTAATTAAATGTGTTTTAACGAAAACAGTAAAATATTTGTTCACTGTTCTCGGCATCGCAGAATCGGCTTATTCCCAAATGGATGGTAGAGGCTCATTTGTACATTTATTAGATGGGTTGAAACAAGCAAATGACCCGCCCAGTTACTCTTCGAGACATTGTTAGTATACGCTATTAAGGTCTCGCCAGACCTGACAAAGGGAAAATTCAAAGATGTAATGTACGAGTACAGATGTACAGTAAGATGAACATTTAGCCTTAACTAAGGGAGCTCATTTTGGTAGCAGCGTAGTACCAGCTAGCGCTTGAAGGAATAATGTCGAAAAACATGTGTTTGGCCAAGTCATAATTTCGAAGTCCAAAATGGCTGCGGACAACCGTTTTTTAATAATCTCCGAATTTAACCCTTTCCATGTCCCCATTGTGTTTAGTCTTTCAAGCCGTCACCTTGTTCTGGTGACAGACTGTATGTATAAATCTTAGACAACGATCACACAGTCATTAATAATAACTTACCTTTCTCAATTTTCTTTTCAATATTAACAAGTTTACCTAGCGGGCTATGAGCCGTTTGACGGCTAATAATCGATAGGGGTTTTGAGGAGCGAAAGTAGATGAACCTACAAGTTTCTGATATCACGCAGAAAAGCCCTATGATTTCCGCGCTGTTAACGTGGTGTACGTTTTTCTTTTCCACATATTCTCTTTCCAGTTGAGTTTTCTTTTTTTTTTTTTTTTTTTTTTCTCTACGACAAAACAGGCCTTTTGTACCTTGATTAATTTGAGTATGTATACGTACTTATGGATAGTTTCGCTATGTTATCAACAACAATTAGCAACAATGCTACCAGAATCTTGGCGCTCAGCCACGGTACATTATCGACACTTTGTGAACGTCGTCTGCACTCCTGGTCTTACGACGTGAATTCGCTGCGTTTTAGTGATTTTTATAATAATAATAATAAACATAACTGCGTAATTGTTATCTGTTAGGAAACGTCGAGACGCAGAATAGGTGTTGCTTTCAAATTGTCTCCTCATCAGCAAAAATGACGAAATCCTTTTCACCTTCATAATACCAAATAGAACGAGCTAAAAGACCCTATACACTTGTAGACGGATGAATTATCTACGTTCAGCACGTTACGTGCACATTGTCCACGTCAATAATGATCACATTTTCATGACCATGTCATATTATAAAATCTATGTATAGCAATATTTCACATACCGTATATCAACACACTGCTATTTATCAACGTTTTCTATACAACAAATAAATTAACCGTGCATTTTGTACGGCGAGCTCTGTGTGAAAGAGACGCATCAACAGTGCGGAACTCAACGCTATAATAACATGTTCGAGATACCGAACTTTCTGTTTTATTACTACCTTTGGATAAAATGTTACAATTCTGCAGAGGATAAAAACGAAAGCAACAGTAATTGTGTTCAGAAAAACACCGTCACGTAATACATACATCCCCTGAGCACCGATTACGCCTGTATATTATAACATTACTATTCGGCCTGCTATCTCTCGATCGCTAATTAATCATCCCTTCATTTTCGTTACAGATAAACAAGGACCGTATTGTGACGTTTACGCGCAACACAATGCTTACTAGCTAGTTTTCCGCAATAAATGCGCTCATCGTAGTATTTCTTTTTAAACTGAGTAATAACAACGAAGTTCAGACAAAATGTCGATCATTTCCATCGACGATCAATAAAAGCATCTACCCAGAGACGGATGAGGTTTAGCATAGATATGAAAACTAGAACAGTTTTAAGCTAGCTATTACAAACGAACTACAAGCGGGTCTCGTTACGGCGCAGGATTTGCCTGATTATCGCTGTCGCTGTTAGCACTAAAGATCGCCGCAGCTGTCCTTGACCTTTAATGGCCCTGACTAAGCGGACCTTGAGGAAAGGACCTCGTGTTAATTGTCACCTTCGCCTGCCCGGCTCTGCATTGGCTCGGCTAGACGGAGGTGACAGTACAGTAGATGGCTGGCCGTAAAACGTATTCATCGGCCTCAGCGTACAGCTCGTTTATGTTAGCGGCACTCTGGCTATTTTTCGGGACACAAGATGACACGTCTTTCGATGTTAGTCCTGTTGATCCTCCGATAACCAATGAAGTATCGCTTCCTACATCTTTCATGACGTCCCGGTTGGGTCGACCTGTATTTTCGGCAGTCAGGGGTCGCCCCGGCTCACCGCCCCTACTGCGGCGCTCGCCAGAACCCATTGTCGCATATCGTTTCGTGTTGCGCCATTTACGCCGTGGCTGCGGCGTCTGAGTTTGTCGGTCATCTGCAATTCAGCCGATCGATCAGTCAAGAACACGGATGGACGATATGACAACCTCACAGAGTTGCTCCGGAGCTGAAGTTCTTGACAGAATCCCCTTTGCAACAGTTGTCGGCTTATTTTTCATACGGACACGTATAAACCAAGACTGTATATTATATATACAAGAATATATAACACGTAAGTTCCGGATAGATGTTTGTGTTGACAAAAAGAGATATAAAGGTATCATAGGCATCTTGTAGAAATAATTTAACATTGAAAAGAAGCTGAAAGTGAGGTTGTCGCGTAAAGCAAAGTACACAACTGCGATCAGAACGCAATACTAACTATTATAAAGGTTGTCGAAACTCGAGCTGGGAGCACTCGAGTAGAAGAATTGCTCCCGATGTATTGACCAATGCCGATTTGCGCTATCGTTCGAACCTGCCAATAATATATATACGAATATTATCAAAAATACAAACTTCACTGGGTCTGACAGACTGCGCACGTCATGCATTATACATACTTATATATGAAGCCTTTCCGTTTATCGTATTCCATGTCATGCTGAGCCTCTTATGGACCTGAACTTACCTGAACTATATCCCGAGCTAGAAGATGAGCAAGACTGCGACACGTTGAATGTGTTCCTTTGATAGAAAAGGATGTAGGCGTCGCGAGTGGTCAGGTGCGATTCGTCGGTTACCGTCGAAACGATCGCGTCATCGTAATGATACCAGAGGCCATTTACTGGATTTTTGCAAAAAGCTACACAAAAAGAACAAGAACGTTAATTCGTACGGCTAGTTTACAGACTTTCTGAACAGTTTCCTTTAAAAGCCACAACTGCTACTGAACAACGCTTACCAGAAAGCGCGAGTTTCATTAAAATTTACCAATTTGTTAAAGGCCTCCAGCAACATACTTAGAAATGCAAATGACTATTACAGAATAGAATTAGTTGAAAGGACAATGATCAATCTTTGAGTGAAAGATGGGTGTTTTTTTGCGTTAGACCCTGATATCTATCACGAACTTAGGATTTCGTTCTTAAGCTAAAAGCTAATCATAATCATATTTCGAAGAGTTATACAATTCAAGGGTTTCTATTTCGATTGTTCCGCTCATGAAAAGCACGTAAAAAAATTAAGCTAATTTTGCCAAGCGTGTACGCAACGTCAGTAGGAAAGACGCTTTCACTAGAACACGTTTAAGTATATAACAATATCCCTAGGTCCGTACGTCCCGAAGTTACATAGATCAATTTCACGCACGCACATATTTTTCGCTTACCTGTGTAATGCCCCGTTTGCATAGTGCCGTGATGATTACATACAGCATATAGATCGTAAATGAAATTATGCGGGTTTCGTGGATCAACATTTCGCAGTGGTGACCTGTGAACGCTGTTTTTCCACGGTGACCACGTGAAAAAGGTGTCTTTCGGCAGGTCGCGATCCCGCTCCCTCCTCAACAGATCAGGGCTGTCGCCACGTTGTGCGGCGAAGCGTGATAGATCGAGGCCGGTTAGCGGAAATTCTACTAGTGAAGAAATCTTTGACCGTTCCTGGTTTACTTGTTTGAATCGTTTGAGATGGATAAGCAGAACATCGGGAGTCGTCCATAAATCAAGCTTGGACAACACCTGTTGGCGTCGCTCGCACGTAGGACACAACCACGCTTCGTCTGCCTCTAGCTGTGTTTATAGAGGAAAGATACGACAAGAAGCATTCAAATAAGATAATAATTATAAAAGCTGAAACGTATACATTGTCGTCAGTATCGATCTGAAATAATCATACCATCACTGAAAGCTCCAACAGGGCGGATAAAATTTGCTCTTGGCTTCGCTACCGCTGACTTGATTCATTGTACAAATTATTATAATTAATACATCTGAGCGTCTAGACACACCAGTTCCTCGCTGAAGTATGCGTTAAGGCAGTCGTTGAGATCCACAGGTACAGCGGCCTCTCCATCAGCCTCGTCAAGGCCACATAGACTCTCATCTCGAAGTGGTCCCGAGGGTTCACGTATTCGCTCGCAAATTCGTTCGTCACGCCACTCGAGAACAAGCCGCAGATGTTTTGCTACGGACGGATATTGCACCTGCGGGGCGCATGGACACAAATGAAAACTGGTCAATAAATGAATAACAAGGGGCAAAATCGTTCCATCTACACACGTCTAAACAAAAAGGACGGAGCACTGGAAAAGTATCTCTCAGTAGAGCTATTATTAAGGAAAGCTAGTTTTCGAGATGGGCCTTAGAGTACTGTGAGAGATACTGAAGAAAGTTATTTATCTTATCGAAAATAAAACCAATTTAACGATGCAGAACTAACACAAAATCAATTGATAGCTTTGATTGCAGCAACCTAAATAGTTCACGTTACAGGGGATGTTCCGCGGTTACTCGATCGTCATAAGCTTAATAATTACTTTACTGACGGCCGTAATATGCTCGACAGGATCTGTGTATAAAGGTAATTCGTCGCTCGCACGAAGCTCGTTCCTCTCCGGCAGCATATCGGCGCAGAGGATCGAGAAACATGACGTCGGGAACTCGGGTACAATGGGTCGTTCGCTTAGGGTTCCTGATGTCGCTGGCGTCTGTCTGGCCAGCTGAGACCTATCGACCCACTTGTCCGTTTGTTGGTGGACGATATAACGATGAGACAAGTTATCGATCGTGTCTGTAGAGGCGCGTGGAGTCAAGTTGACGCCCTCGAGATCGAAGACGTGTCGCTCGTCATTTCTAAATGAGTACTGCGTTGAGGAGGATGCTAGTTCTTTACTGCTGCCGCCGCCGCCGCCGCCGCTAAGGAGTTGCTGATTGAGATCTTCCGTACCACCATCGTAATGTGCACAGTCACCATCCTCATGAAGGTACTCATCGTTGAAAAGCTCCGCCATCGTGTCGAGCATAAGTAGGCGCAGGTTATCGAATGAGATATCCCTTCGGACCTGGATAACGTATGGGGGACCGAACGGCCCGCCCACAGTTGTTCGGTTCTGCCTACGGTAAAAAGCAGGACGCAATGAACAAGAACAAAATAGATATGCGGCTAAATGTTAAAGCTCGAACTGGTACCACCTATATATTCCTAGCACTCAAATCTCCTGGCCAGCGAAAAGTGAATGAATCTACTTCTAGTTACGAGAGCATGTTTACCAAATGACCATAACGTGTTCTCCATGTTCGTTCGTTTTCTTTGGTTTTGGCGTCTCGAGACACGTTACAAAACGCGAGTTTCCTCGCGAGCGGAGATCGTCAAGGAGCGAGACGACTGAATCGCTGTCGGCGTAAACTGAACCAAATCCACCTTCCGTCTCAGGAAGTAACTGCATGAATAGCAGATTCCGTGCAGGAATCCGATATCTATCTGAAACTTTCTCTCGGAGATCCCGAATCGTCGAGTTGTCGAACAACTCTATCGCGAATTCCAGCTGCAAAGAAAATGACCAAATCGAGCGATTATCAAGAAAACGAAAAAATAAGGCTGAGCCATGTAACTAAAAAATAGTTTCATACTAAAGAAACGTCCTTTGTATATGATGTTCATTAGCGATGCGGTCGAATGCTGTCCTACTTCAATTAAATACAGAGTCGCCAAACGCAGATTAGGTAGAGTCATGCACTTCGAGGATCTGATACGAACCTGCCGATTATCGCCGGTGAGGTTAATCAAATGTACTGGTACGAGCCGTTTTAACTTTAGTGGAATGGGTAATGACAGACAGACGTATGGATCGAACGTCTTGCATTCTCGGCGGCACAACGGACACGTGAGGGTTAGCTTTGTTTGGCCCTGGAACAACTCCTGGACAAATGAAGAGTTGCAGCGCGCATGGCTTGCGAGTGCGCGGGCCGCCAAAAACTCATCTGGCTTTCCTAGGACGCTACCCTACAATTAGAGGTTGTCACAAACACAAACATCATAATAAACTACTATCTTAATCAATTGCTTAATTGCCTAGTGACGTGTTTAATAAATAAAAAAAATCTCCTAAACGTTTAAAAGTCTTCATTTCTTATCCAAACAACAAAACAATAAAATCTGATAGAAGTAAGAATAGAAAAAAAGATCTCAGACTGTTAAAACACTCAGGCCCCACACTATATTCTAGTTCGAGTCCTCATGAGCACAACTGTGATATTATGCACAAGGAGTAATTTATCATGACGTATATTGAAATACAATACAAAAAGTAAAAATAGTTGTCTTGGCAATCCGTTGGCTTTACTTCCCAGTGCTTGTATCTAAAGACAGAGAGAAACTGAAGAGTCGCCGCCGAAATTACGTTTTTCGAGCACAAATAACGTATAAATTAGACAGTATATATATTTTCGCCATTTCCTGTATTACAACAAAAAAGAATAGGCGTTTTTAGGGTAAATTAATATAATTCCTCACAGATGAAAACAAACGTTTATTAGAGTGTATTAGTTTTCTCCGTCGCTGGACGTTTTTCGGAAGACTCTAGGGAAACATGAAAATGCATTTGCTTTAAAATTAACATTGTCTGCATCCGAATTGTAGTTATTTCATGTTGTAAAGTGCTTTATCTATAGAACATTTGTATCGGTTTATCACAGCAAGAGAAACGTGTAAGACGCAAGGATGAGCATTAGTTTGTCTACGACTTCTTATTTTGATCGTGTGCACAATAACATTCCCAGAAGTTTTTTATGAGACGACCTCATGTGCCCGTCCACTACCCACACATCCTCTCGCAAACTCGTTGATGTTATTGACGAGTATGAAACTTCAGCCGGGGCAATTCAAACTATTTGAGAAATTCCCGTACGTATGCGCTCCGTAACCCTTTTTCTGGAAAACCACTTGCAAAACAGAGCCAGTAGTGGAAAATCAAGCAAACATTTTACATATACGTATAGCCTGGTTTCCTTCATCTCTTCGAGTGACTCGTGCGACATCCAAAAGCTAGCTTTCGTTCGATCCGTACGATTGACCTGAACGCTCGATAAAGTTGCGAAGAAACCTCAAAGCTACCCCCGCTGCCAAGTTACTTAGAAAATCTTAATCCGGATTTGCGGCGGCAGCTTTGTGGAACCCAGCTTCTCAACAATCACAATAAGCAGAACGCATATCTACGGAAGGAAGCAATTAAGGTCATTTAGGGTTAAGTGGTGATAGGTAAATACTTTTCATAGGAACTGGAATCGCTTAGCGTCGATGGTATGACAGATTCTGTCTGCGACAGAATCTTACGGTAGGAGCTTCGGAAAAGCAAACGTACTTGCGCAGTAAGCTAGTATGAGAAATTTAAAGAATTGCTCACTCTTAGTTGAGGATCCCGTCTGATATGCAGTTCGTTATCGTGGCTGTTTCTTTTATTTGATCATTTTGCCCTGATTTTTATGTAAAAATCAACTTTTCTGCCTAGCGACGGTTTGCCTAGTCAATGGAACGACTTGTCGAAAAGGTTTTCGTACTTCATGTCGTAGGTACTAAAAAAATACTAAGAAAAATCATCACTAGCCATTACGATACATACTGGACATGTTCCTTACCTACAGACTTAATTTAACCGTAATACTATGACAATCTAGATAGCTCAGAATTCATTCTATGTTCTGATTTAGCGAAGAAAACCCACATCAGTTAGTAGCAATTTGACGTAACATAAGCTCATCAACGTTTTTTCGGTTTGTGGATGGAAATGACGCGATGACGTTGTTGTTGTTGTTGTTGTTATAAAATTGTGTAATTAAATTAGCAGGTGCGGAAATAGTCATACGCTAATGGCAGAGAGCTCCTCGGAGAACTGACTATAGTTGCGCCATCTTGCGGCCGCGCGCCGTAGTAATATCGGGATCAGTGTGCGGTTCTGGGAGAATTCAGTTGTTACGCTAAGCCGGTTTCCCACTATGAATGTTAGAATTAATTACAATAAAAATAACTCAAACTGAATGTTTGTTTTATAGTAGTAATTCTATCAGTCGTTCTGAACCAGAGGCGATCGAAATGTGTGAATATTTGTTAACTGACAATGGTTGGACTCTGGGATATTTTATCCGGTTTGTGTGTGCTATCGTATCAAGTGAACACTTTCAATTATATTAGATGTATATCATTAACAGAATCAGGGCAAGCACCAAATTAAAAGAACCTAAATTCTGCTTTGATATCTGGTGCGCACCATAATTAGATTCACAACCATAACGTTTCAACCTACCAAACCACTACTAGTTTACACGTAATCCTTGTTATTTGGTTTTGTATATGAAGATAACATTAAAGTGACCTTTCATTTGCAAATGTCTCCCAAATCCGCCCCTTGGGAGCATACGGAAGGCAAACGAAATGATGTTTCTAGTCATGCGAATATTGCCTATACATAGTGCCGCCGATATTCAAGTGGACTATTTGACCCAATGACGAATCTAAGACGTATCGTTTTCTGGTTATCAAAAACAAAGCGTCGCATCAATTTTACTGTTAGGACCACCAGAAGCGTTGTTGCCTCTCCGAAATAGATATCTCGAAAGGAAACGTAGCCTCTTATCTAAGTGGAAAAGCCACACATTGTAGGCCTTCGATCAGCGCGTGCATCGCATTAGACATATTCAAGCTTAGATTGACCGGCAAGCGACTAACTGTAACATAGGACGAGACTGTTGTATCAGCTTGTCGTCAGGTGGCACGGGAAAACGAATACACTATCATTCGTTGTAAACAGGCTAAATGAAAAGAAAAAAAAAGAAAGTAAAAAAGAAAATCACGCCCACGCACGAAGAATTTATTTTTATGAGCACGATTGCAAGCCGCCATTGCTTCTAACGGATTGCCTCTGTTGGCAGTATCGACGTTTCTTAATATAATTCTGCTCCGTGCAGAAGACGAAGTAATCGACTTACTCTATGATCGCACAGAAAATCGACTATGGTTGCCATTTTGACACCTCCTAGAGCTGATTTTCGGCTGACACTTGACTATAAGACCATATGTTGTTCAATATTTCATTAGACAATGAATATCAGTACAATAGATCTGACCGCTTACAGTCTCATACTTCCGTGGACATTTGTTATCGTTTCCGCCGCAGCGCGTTTGTAGGATGTTGATGACTACTTTACTGAAAATCGGCCTTCAAACTCATTTTTACTTATCTAGAAGGCTTATTCCTAATATATATATATATAGTATATACTTTTGTAGGTTCTGTTAGCCTGTTTTTTACATCTGCCTAGTTTCTCCTTGCAAAAACTGGCTCAGCTTCTATTCTCATCTATGTCAGATAGGCATTTGTACATTTGAGGACTTCCTGCTTCAATACACATGAGAGTTTCTACATATGTCCTGCACTTGGAGACATCGCAAGGTTATCTATATATTCACCAAACAAAGGAAATGTAACACCCCCATTATTTGTCATGGGGGCCTAGCTTGCAAACAAAATCGTCCGCTGACGGAGATTAAGTGGCCAGCCCGGCCAGTCAACGAAATAATACCACTACATACAGTGCATTTAAGAACCATAGGCAAAATTTTTTTTAGATTTTATCGAGAATGCATGAATAAAATACGTAGCACACAATACTATCAAACAGCTTATTTGTTAAAAATATATCATAGAAATCTTGTTTAACGAAAAATTGCAGCTCGTAGAATATGCGTTGACATGAGAAACGTTACGAAATTGCCAGGTTCGTGAAAGCGACGGCCGAGGACTCGTTTTCTCCTGTTGTAAGCCCCAATTCGGTAGGCGACGACTGTTATGACTGTTCGCACTGAAGTTCTCCATGCGGGTTAATAATGCAACAGCAGCTGTATTGCTACTATCAATATAACAGTGTAATAATAATGTACTACAGTAGTTGATATGATTTGTGACGCCAGACGAGGTGTGCAGTGCCGCACGTTCAGACGGCCGTCAGGCTACCGCCTCTGGCAACGTTTACCTCTAGCCCGTCATAGGATTGGACTTTCCTAAGCCAACAAATGAAAAACTGCTGGAAGCAGAAAATGTCCCCCTACCGCTCTAGAAGACTATTGTTGTATTCCGTCAGTCGCTGTCGCTTCTGCTAGCCAGCCTAGCTTCCGTCTCAACATTGATCGTGACGTCTCTAGGAACGCTATTGTTACCGCCGCCTCGTCCGTCGCGGGGAACGAATCGAATATAGATTGGATGACGCGGCGTAGGCAGAACACTAACCGGCGACTAAATCCCTATCGCCAGAGTCACCGTTTCTGTATCCGCAGCTACTTCCAGAACATAAAAGCATACGGAAACACGCCGGCTGCGATCCAGATGTAAGACGAACAAGCTGAGATGCCTATGCATGGAATCCCATATAGGGGACGAAACGACGCGTACATATTCATAGCAACAATTAAATCCTTACGGAAAGAAGGATTTAACTATATTTGTGAACAAGACCACTGGGAGTTATTGTCGCTTGCTAACCTTCCCCAAAAGAGCTCCTATACGCTGTCGGTATTTAGTACTGTTTGAGTCTGTATAAGTGTTTAGCTCAGTCGTTCCGCTCTTTAATGAAATAGTAATAACAATAATAAAAGAATATACGTCATATCTCTTAATTGTGCCATACACAGTGCAGTGAGCTCGCTATGTACCGTTATAAATCTCCTTGTAAAAATTGGCCTTTGGAACCTTTAAAATGGCTTGCTGCTATCTCCAAGAGATCCGGTAAAATTTTGCGAAGATTTCGCACGCACTCAGATCACGCCTAGTCGTCAAAATTGTGGTATGGTCTACGTTCTCGTGGCAGACAACCGTCATATTAAAATGAATGAAATTGTTAGAGCATTTCTACTATAACGCATTCTGAACGCCGAACGAAGTTTCCTTGAGTAACGCTCTACAAAAATATTCCATTAAATAGTAAATATTGTAGATTAAGGTTTCAAAATAAAAG